ATTCTATTATTCGATACGGGTCGGTTTGGTTATCAAATCTTTTTTATTATCTTAAAGGCTAATCACCAATTTAATTAGCCCAATTAATTGATTGAGGGTTGATAATTATAATATCCTTTAAGTTGCTATTTTTTTATCATTCATTTAAAATTAAATTTATAGAATTTGCCCCAACACAGTAAACACGATTATTGCTCTGAGTTCTTCATCGCCTTCCTCTGAGTCCAACCGTTATTATCTCCATCGCCAGCACCCTGCCGTCGTGCTTCCTCGACCGTTCTGCATCATCGTCATTTCCTCCGTCGTCCGCTACCTCCACTGTCGACCTCTGCCGCCACTAGATGTCCTACGAGAAAATTTCCTGTGAATCTCGATGAAGCCCTCGATAAGTTTTCTCGCTCGATTTTTTAGGTCTAGTTGTTGTAAAGAGGGCGATTTTATGATTTTATTCTTATCGAAAATTTGGGGGAATGAAAATTGATTTGTCCCCATCGCCATCCACTACATCCCTATCCCATCGACCCTGCACCCGTCAAAGCCACCTGAACCCAACCTCATTCCCCCAACCCTCCCTACACTAAATTACCAGCACAATTTTAATTTCAAATAAAAAATTTGGGTGAAATAAAAGTTGTGTTGTTGCCAAGAGCTATAACAGGCCCAATCCCCTGCCCCTCTGTCGTCTCATTCGCCGTTGATAAACGCTCTGCTCCTCAGGAAAATTTCTTCATTCCGCCGAGAAATGTTCTATTCCGTCGTCTCGTTCACCGTCATCGTTGGGCGTGAGGGCCTTGTTATACCTAAAAATGGCCTTCACTCTAGGCCGACCTAGTAAGCCAAGAAATATACCAGACCAGTTAAGAAATGGGCCCAAATTATGGAAAACAACAGCCCAAGAAAATTGGTCGCCAAGACCATGTCAATCCACACCCGCACTGAGCGCCAATCTATTTCTATTCATTCACCTAGAAGATTGTCGATCTCTCTGTCATATGAATGAGAACTGGCAAAGCAAATTATTAAAGCGACCGCCCAGTCGGTCCCATCATCAAAAGAAGAGTTTTTGTATGGGGATGCATGTCACTCCCCTATGCCCTTAGGTTACCCCTTTATCATAATTACTTTTTACTTTTTTCTGTCTATAAATTCAACCCAAGAGGCTCAAATAACAACCAACTCTTGACAAAAATACATCCATATATACAATTATTCTCCTTGTCGATCTCTCCCTACAGATCGGCAAACTCCTTGTGTCGTTTAATTTTTGCTTTCATGATTTTAGTTTCTCGCGTGAACCGTTAACTTGTTGAATCTCTATTATTATAACAATAAGTTGTTACATAAATCACCATTATCTCTCAATTAAGTCGCCCCATTATTGTGGTTGACGCCAGAAAGTCAACAAAATGCCGCTAGAAGGAGGGCGACCATCAAAGGTTACCTCTAAACCTCTACCTACAAATAGTCGTACCCTATACAGACTCATTCTCAACCAAGAAATCCATCTCCTGTCACCTCTAATGGAGCGTCCGATATTCCATCCAAAAGGAAGGGCGACACAACTGACCCCCTCTATCATCTCTCTTCATCTCCTTATTCTGCCCAAATAAAAAGCTTAGAAAAATTTACAGATACCACCTTTTTGTCTCATCTTACCATAAAAAATTCAGATCTACAACCCCTAATAACCCTCCATATTAGCCCACCTTTGAAAAGAATACAGATCGATTAGCTCACCAACAATAACAACGAGAGGTGGGTGTTCTTTTTATCCTAGAGTAACAACGGTTTCAAAAAATTTGGGGGCCTAAGGACGACCGTGACAATAATATCCCATATGATTTCTTCTCAGATATTGTCCTTAGGTCTCGCGACTTTCAACCCAGCGATCAACATATGTAGTTGGGCGATCACCCCCTTATTTTTTTTCATGACCGTCCGAAGTTCAGGTCGCCAAAATGGGTTGTTTCTAAGATCTGAGGGCCTGACAAAGTCACGTCCCGAGGAATAATCTTAACCCTCGGGTGCAAGATCAACCATCAAGGTCAGTCAAGGCCACAAGAGGCCCCCATTATTAATGAAGATCTTTACATCGACAATAATAGAGCCTGACCTATGCAAATATGTTCCAAGAGACGAATCGACAAAGTACCACCCCACGAGGAGATCGGTCAAGAGTGGTTTGTCGATCAGCACTTACTAATGTAAAAGAAGACAAAAAGTCAATCACAACCAAGTTTTAGCGTGAATCCCCAGCCATGGGCCTTAAATATTTTCTTTCTTGAAAAGATGTTAAAAGACCGATAGACATGTATAGATAGGAAAATTTATCTACTTGTTCATGTATCCCAGCTAAATAAATTTGTACTGTGATATTTCACGGGTATCTCATGACAATGATGTATTCTTAGTATGTTTGATTCAGTACTTTTATCTTGTAATAAAAGGATCAAATTAGATCTCGTAACAATTTCTGGCGATTTCCTCAAACAAACGACATCTTTAATACAATCCCATAAGACTCGTTGAGGGGTCAAACAATCGACGAAAAACACAATTGAAAAGACAACATCTACACAAATCACGAATCTACTAATAGAGTGATCAAGATGGCGAATAATTCTTTTCGCTCCATGAAGTATCAAGCATCAGCCACCCTTAAAAAGATCTCTCAATACTCTACAATTGAAGGCAACATTCTCTCTTTTTCCAGCACAACATCTCAGGGTGGAACGCCTAAAGAGGCTAAGTCGTTATAGATCAACAAATCTTACACTCCTGGTGAAATGCCGAATGAGGCCAAGATGTTCGAGTCCTAAATCTTACATCTCACGGTGAAACGCCGATAAAGTGAGATCGGAAGGACGTCCTCATCTGCCCCCAGGTCGAGATTGAGTGGGGATATAAGGAGTGGTACCACCTTTGTGCCTTGGGCCCCAGTGTTAGCGAGAACATACGGCACCTAAGGGCATCTCTAGCCCCAAGGAGATCCATCCAAGAAGTGTATAGAACGATGTGGGCATCAGGGTTCAAATTACCATCGTACAGTCCGATCTGCGAGACATTAATCTTATCGGGAAAGGGCTCTGGCAGAATATCTGATGACAATGGAGAGGTCGTATCCACCACACGGCTACTCGTGAAACCTCGAGGAGATGATAGTGACCCCTTTCCATACTTCTGTCAAGCTTCGAGCTCGGCGATCTTCTTCGAGAGGGATGCAACCTCATCGGTGTCGTGATTTGCAGACTTGCTCCTGAGAATTGTCTGCCTCAGGTCAAGCTCCTAATCTTTTTGGTCTCCCAGATGATTGAAAATAGAAGTGGCTGTTTCGCCCTGCGACTTGGGGTAGACCTACTTTCCCCTGTCTGCTTTGTTCGAGTGGGGTTAGCTGTCATCTCCTTGTGGATGGCAAACGCTTTATTTGAGGTTTGGGCATTGGTTTCCGACTATGCTCGCAGATGCGGCGTACCTGTGACGGGAGAATGAAGAACACAAAGAAACCGTTTTTCTTTTCTAATTCAATTCGTTAATAATTAACTGACAGAGTAGTCAATCCCGTCAGTTTTAATACAATAAGTCCTAATCATTTGAAAGCCCAACTAGAAAGCCTAAAGTCGAAATAAAACAAGCCCAACACAAAATATAAATAAATACAAACATAAATAATAATAAAATATAATAACAATCACACTAAAGGCCGGAGTCGATCATATGTGTCGAGAAATAACAACGCACTCTCGTCGGCATCACTTTTCCCCGGTTGGAGAGGATTCGCCCTAAAATCCGTACCACTCTCGTCGGCAGAATTGTCGCCATGAAAAGGCACAAAGTGCTTGACGTTGAAAATGTCCGAGGTGCGAATATGAGATGGTAAACGAACTCGATAGGCATTCGGATTAATCTTCTCAAGGATCTCCACAGGGCCAATCTTCCGAGCCGCCAACTTGTTAAACTCTTGTGCCGGAAAGCGGTCATTCGTCAAGATAGCCCATACGAAATTGTCCACATCATACTCCACATGTCGACGACGAACGTCTGCCTTACGTTTGTAGGCAGCAGTAGTAACCTCCAAATTCGCACGAACCTCGTCATGTGTGAGCCGCAAATCAGAAATAATGTCCTCTTCCCGGCGATCTTCAAGTCCAGAGGAAGGCAAGAAAATCAAATCAGCCGGACCACGTGGAATCATACCGTACACCACCTGAAATGGATAGTACCGAGTAACACGACTCAATGCCGAGTTGTGAGCAAACTCGGCTTAACTAAGCCGCATATCCTACGATCGTATATTATCTCCCACCAAGCAACGAAGTAAATTACCCAAAGAGCGATTAACAACCTCAGTCTGACCGTCGGTTTGTTTGTGGTAGGCCCTGCTAAAGTTGAGCCTGGTGTTCGCCTGGCGCCACAAACTACGCTAGAAAAAACTGAGGAAGCGGGGTATCACGATCAGACACAATGGAGATGGGCAGACCATGCAAACGATAAACCTCACGGAAAAAGAGCTGAGCAACATGAACAACATCTGTCG